GTGGTCAACCTACATGCGCGACCGACTTATTGCACTTGGCATGCGACGCCCTACAAGGATAAAGACCGAGGACTTCGACGTGCCCATGCTGACGTTGGATGACTTTGAGATTGCACCTCTTCCGGATTCGATCACTTGTCTGCCAGCTGACTGCCGTATTGCGAGGGATGTGGATGCGCAGCGACAACTAGCGATCATGTGCATTGAGAAGGCTAGGCTGTGTCTGTGCATATCCCATGTGCTTTCCAAGCAATACTGCGTATTGAACAACAACCACGGCCTACAAAATGACCGTACAACCATGATGTTGCTACCGAAGAAACTAGACCCTGAAACTAGTGAGGTCAAGGCCTGCGATGAAGAGCTCCAAAAATGGGTATCAGAGCTTCCAGAAGAAGCCAAGTACACGGACACACCCAGCGGCGAAGCAGCCATCGATCTTGCAAGGTCACTACTGCACATGGTCTTCTTCACCACGTTGTCAGCGTTGCATCGGCCGCAGGTTCTACCAAATTCACAAGGCGGCCCAGCCAGCGCTCCGACAAAGGAGAATGTTGAGTCTGAATTGCTCGATGTCTCGCGCCGTAATGTCCGCCGGGCTGCTTCAGCAATCACATCGATAGCTCAGCGTCTAGACGTGGGTGGTCTCGTCAAGTACCTACCGACCACAGGTGTCACGGTTCTGCTACCAGCAATCATCATCCACCTACTTGACATCAAAGCTCCAGAGGAGGAGACTCGTCGAACTTCTCTACGTGGCTTCTGCCAGTGCATGGCTGTTATGGGTAAGCTGCGGGATCTCTACGCTGCCGCCGACTACTCAGTAGCCTTTCTGGAAGCCGCTATCCGCAAGGCAGGTATTCATGTTGCTCCTGTAGGCGCCGCTCCAGCTGCGCCAATGCCCAAGCCTTCGCCGGTCACTACAGTCGAAGATCTTGTAGATGCTGGAAGGCGAATGGAGATGATCAACAACGCGACTACAGGAACACAGAACCTACGTCCTTCAACATTGACACCGCCGCCAGACAACGGTACCACCAACATGCACGCTCTCGAGAAGCAGCACGACCAGCCTAATGTCACCGATGAGGAAGTCGCTCGGCGTCTCGAAACATTCCTCGCATCCACGCCACCAGAGTCTGATCACGAGCATATGCCCAGTATCACTATTGCCGACGAGTCACACATGGACGGTATCACGGCTTCTGCATCGGACTCGCACGCACACGACAATCTGAACTCGATGGCTTTCAATAAGTGGAGTACGATGGACCTTCCTGCGAATCCATTTACCAACAACATCAACCACCACCAGGACGACGAGATGCTATTTTCAAGCCTGCCATTAAATAATGAGTTTGATGACGGCGATTTCGATCAGCTGCTCAACTTGGATGCAGTCGGCGAGGCGTTCAACTTCGACGACTCAGCTCTTGACGCCAACATGGGCATCTCAGGTGGACTAGGAGATGTAGACTGGCTGAATACTGGTAACGATCTTACCGCTGAGGCATAAGACGACTACCTCGATCTTCGAGTATGATGTCACGATTTTCATTCACGGAACGGAAAAGTTTTATCACGGGATTTCATTGGATCTGTGGCATTGTTCTCTGCGAAGATATCCATTTCCTTGTCCTCTGCTTCTGCGTATATCTTTCTATCAGATAATGACCAAGGGAATTGGATTGGGTTGGATTAGGGAAACACGGAGGTCAACGATCAGGAAAGACGTTGGCTCCTGGAACATGTTATCCTGCATGACGTTATGAATTGAACTACACACATAATCTCTTATTTTAAGCTTTTCTAGCTATGCAGGTAACTATAAATTACAATGCTTATACTCTAACTAGCTTAGCACACACTTATTATTTAATATACTATTTTATTTTAAACAGCGTAATAGGTATCTTAAATCTAAAAAATTAAGTCTTAAATAAGTAACTACTCTCTACTAAGTATTTTATAAAAGTATAAAATAAAGTTTAATATATACTTTATATCTTAGTGCCTTGTACCTAATTTTGTAAACTCTATTTAATAAAAAAATATTAAAAGACGCTTAGCTATTAGTTTTAGAACTACTAAGAAATTTTAATAAACTTAAAGTATATTACTATTAGTACTAAAGCTTCTAACTAATACTTTACTTATTTATATAACTTCTAAGCTTAAGTAGTAATTAAGAACTATATAATATAGTAGTAATAGAAATACTATAATAGCTTTACGTCTAGATATTAATAGAACTTATAGTAGTTTATTATATCTACTATCTAGTAAATAGTATCTTTTTATAAAAAATAAGCTATAAATACTATATTCTCTTTATTTTATGTCTTAGAACCTTTATAAAGTATTTTAGCTAAAGTATTATATTACTAATATATAGCTTTCTTAATAGCTAAAAATAGTAGTAGTATTATTTTTAGCTTTACTACGTATATAAAGTTATAAATAAGAATAGCGTAAGTATTTTAGAGCTTAGTACTAGTAAGTTTTATAATAGAGTAGTATTACTATCTTATTATAGTAAGTAAGAAACTAATATTACGCCTACTAAAAAGCTTATATATCTTACTAATAAGCTTTTAAAAAGTAAGGCTAAAGAAAAAAATAATAAAAGGCCTTATACTAGTTATATACATAATAGAGATAATAAAGATAATAGAAATAATAAAAATAAAAATAATAAAACTAAAGATAATAGAAATATTAATAAGCTTAGTATATAGCTCTAAAGTACTAGTAAAGTAGCACTATAAAGCGCTTATAATAGTCTTTAGTATAGCTAAAATAAAGTAGTTTATAGTAGCCTTTATAATAGCTTCTAAAATAATAACTTTAAAAGAACTTATAAAGTAACGCGTTTAAGAAAAAAGTAATTAATTAATAATAAGAGGCTTAATTAAGCTTTAGTAAGTAAAGTAATATAACTAGAAATAAAATTAGCTTTAGACTTACTAATACTAGAAGAACTTATAAAAAAGTAGTAACGTAGTTAAAAGCTTATTTAGTATACTAGTATAGCTTTAGTATTAGATTTAAGCTACTATTTATATCTTTAATAAGTTTTTAGATCTCTAATTTACTATAAGCTATAGAATAAGAATAAGAATAAAGATAAAGATAGAGATAGAGAATAGAAAGTATATATATAGAAGTATAATTTTATAAGCTAAGATTTTAGTATTTTATTACTTTATAATCTATAGCTTAGTTAGTTATAAGCTATTAAGAATATATAATTATATTATAATTCTCTTTACTATAGTATAAGTAGATATTAGTATTTATAGAATAGTTACCTTACTACTCTAAATTTTAAAAGCTTTAACTACGCTAGAGGTAGTAGCGCTAAGAATCTAAGCCTTAGCTTACCTAAAGCCTATATCTTTATAGAATTTTAACTCTTTTAGAAATATATCTTTTTATATACTAGTAATAAACTTTACTCTTTTTAGACTAGCTTATACTATAAAATTATTAGTTTACTAATAAATACTTTATATCTAAAGTATATATAAAAGTATACTAAGCTTTTTTAGCTTAGCTACTAATACTTTAGTAAGTAGCTTATTTTAAAAGAATTACTATATAAGTAATATAATTACTTTATTATTTCTTTTAAAATTTAGATAAAATAGTAATATAACTATAGTTTATTAGTTATAAAACTTTTAAAATAAGTTATAAAGTAAATATACTATATATTCTTACTTATAAGTTAGTATATTTTTTTATATATTTACTACTATTTTCTTAATACTTATACTTTATTAAAACTTTTTATAAACTTTTTAAAGCTATTACTATAAAATAAATACTTTTAATAATACTAATATTTTTATTTTATATAATTTTAAAAACTTTTATTTTTAAGTTTTATACTTTAATATACTTTTTTTATTAAAACTTATTTTTATTAGCTTAGTAAGCTTTTATAGTATTAACTTTATTTTTAATAACTTACTTACTTTTTTAAATTAAGTTTTTAACTTTTATATAAACTTAAGCTTTATTTAAGTTTAGTAATTTTATAATAAGAAAACTTTTATTAACTTTAAAGAAATATATTTAAAACTTAAAAAAAGTAAAATATAAGTATATACTAAGTTTCTTAATACTATTACTATTAATACTACTACTCTAAAAGTATATTTAAAAGTAGTAGTACTAAGTAGTAAAAATACTAAAATAGTAAAAGACTAAATTACTACTTTATAAAGTATATAGTAAAGAAAAAATAAAAAAGTAAATTTTATATATAAAGACTTCTAAGCTTATATTTAGAAAAAGAAAAGTATTTTATAAATAAAGAAGATCTTATACTTAGTATATAGTGTCTAATATAGATAGAAAGGCTAGATATAATTATTGTATAGGTCTAGTATAGTGTTGCAAATAGCTATTGTCGTTTAATATGCATGTCTAATGCACAATGGCAAACCACATCTACATCCAGAAGACCAACGGAATCTAGTCCGGTCCAGAGTTTACCGCTGACTAGTCCTGGTATTCGGATGGGGTAGACTAAAATGGCGCGTCGGATGGAGTCTATTCGCGAGGGCTTGGAGCTAGACCCCAGGATTCTTTGATCCGGAGGGAGGTCCGGATATGGGATATCTAAATGACGTTTGTGGAGTCGGGATGATGCGGCATACAATGGTAATTGTACAAAAGCAGTTTTGCTGGTGTTCTTAGATCGATGGATATGTATGTGCAGTAGTTTAGCTTACTGGTAGCAGACGGGCAATACCACACTCTCAAAACCATCCACGGATCTACCAGCGATAGCGATAGTGTACACCATCGCCGTCCTACACCAGGTGTCTTTCAAGTTGTTCGATATGTAAAAAAAAACAATTATGGGTTCAGTGGTATTGAAGGCAGCTGAGCCTTGAGTGCTAGTCCCGTGATGCCGCGGTTGCCTGATTCTGGGCAGTAGGATTTCGCGCTGGCTGCGCTCAAAGACCTGTACATCACCATCCTACACCATGAGTACATTCCATTCCTTCCCGCAACTTCCTCTAGAGTTACGAGAGCAAATCTGGAAGGACACCGTTGAACCGCGCACCGTCGACGTGCGGCGCACTCGAGAGTACAACCAGCTAGTCTCGTCCACCCCCATACCAGCCATACTACAGTCCTGCCGAGAAGCGCGAAACCTTGGATTGTACGAACGAGTCTACTTCGAGGTTGCTGCAGTAAAGAAATTTAAAAACGATCACGCGCCCGAGATGCTGATCAAGGAATTCTTTATGCCAGATGAGGAGCAGGGAGAAAAGGAGCCTGAGAAGGTAGGCTGCCCCAAGACGGAGCAGCGCTACGTCTGGTTGGATTTCGACATCGATATGCTGGATATTGGGGCTTCTCATTTCTCCAAGTACAGAGCCATCGCACCAGCAATCAAGCGCCTCAAGTTTGAGCGGGAGAACGGGTGCGAATACTTCTACCATACAGAATCACGGCGACTCAAGGAGTTTATCAATGTGGAAGAGATTCACATTGTCTGTGCAGATGGGTTTTGGATGTGGTCTGGGGCTATTGAAGATCATGGCTGGTCCTGCGCTGAAGAAAAACTTGTGTTTATTGACGCGTTTGATGGTCGAGTTGCGCGTGGCAAGGAATTCGAAATTGTGTGTAGACAGATGCTGAAGGACATGCGGCTGGAGGCTACTGGCGAGGCATTTTCTACCGACGACGAGGAGACTTGAGGCTGGATCAATCGCTTTGTCTTTCTTCCTCGCTGTCGCGAGGGACGTGGTTTTATTAGGAGTGGAAAACGTGCCACCGCATCAAGCCAAAACAGCCTTCTTAGCCACACCCCCCACCTCCCTCACATTCCTAACAGCCCTCTCCAAAACCCCTCTCACCAGCGCCCCAACATCCCTAACCCCCAATCCACTCCGCCAAAACCTCCACGCACCCCCAACAGCCAACACAACCGCCAACGCCCTAACCAGCCTCCTCGCCCTCATCCTCGCGATTCCCTTACGCGTGTACTCTATATTCCAGTCATTCCACTTGACAAACGTACACCTCCGCCAAAATTCAATCTGGGTATAGGGATATACAGTCGAGTTCCAGCCGTCGCCGGTGAAATACCAGCTTGAGCAGCCGCTCTGCCAGACGGTGTTTTTGAGAGCGCGTTGCATTTCGGCAGTGTAGGCGACTTCGGCGGAGTGCTTGACGTCGATTGTGCGGGCTTCGTTGTGGAGGAGGAGGCGGATGAAGTTTAGGGAGTAGTTTACCATGTCTGGGGTTTGTGTTAGTAACGTTCTTGGTATGAATAACGGTGAGCGTTAGTTGGGAGGGCTTAGACGTACTCTCACTTGCCATGACGACGCTGGAATGCCCAGTTGCAGTGTTGGGTCCAAAGATCATCATGAAGTTGGGGAAGCCGTCGACGGCTGTGCCTTGGTAGGCTTGAGCGCCTCCTCGTTCTTCCATTACTTGGACTAGGTCTTTTCCGCCTTTGCCGATGACTTTGAGGGGGTGGAGCCAGCGCGTTGTGTCGAAGCCATTGGCGAGGACGATGACATCGGCGGGGATTTCTCGCTCGGGGTAGTCTTCTTCCTTCGCGTCCTTTGGATATGTCGCACCGGGGCCGACGACAACACCATGCTCTGTGACCCTGTTCATCGGCTGGGTAGTCAGCTCGATCTTTGGATCGTTCAGGCTGCGGAGCCATCGCTTGTCGAAGATACGTCGTTTGCAACCGACGCCGTAGTCTGGTGTTAGGATCTCCCAGTACTTTTCTGGAGTGCGTTTGCGCATGTTCTGGAGGACCTTCTCTTCGTAGAGTTTCCGCTGTTTGTTAGCGTATGGTGTATTGGGGAAGATCTTGAGGAAGCCTGATTCTGCCGTGGCGAAGATGATGAAACGCAACAGCTCTTTGAGGCCCGGTACGTTCTTCATCAGCTTGGGGCCGTTCTTCTCCCACCACTCGTCACCACCAGGCGCGTGAACAGCTGGAGTGACCCACGGTGGTGATCTCATCAACTGAGTGACCTTTGTGGCGTTGTAAGGCGCGTGGGGTAGAGGAGGGACGAGTTGCGCGCTGCTACATCCAGTGCCGACAACGACGACGTTCTTGTCTGTGAAGTCGACGCTTTCATCCCACCTCGCCGAATGAAACATCTTGCCCTTAAAGTGCTCGATGCCCTTAATTTCGTCAGGCCAGCCCCTGGGTTCGACCAGTCCTCCCACACAGCTAAGCACAACCTTGGCCTTCACAACTTCCGTCTCCGAGTATACGGCATGCTCGCCTTTTTCTTGCGCGATCTTCATGCGATCCTTTGCTGACAGGTCGCCCATGCCTGAGATCATGCGACGGAGAGTGACCTGCCATAGCTGCTCGTCTTCTAGCCATTTACAGCTTTCAATATCCGTGTTGAGCTCGAATTTGTCCGTGATGCGGTATTTCTCGCATACTTCGTGGTAGTAGCGTACGATTTCTTTGCCAGGCGGGTGGAACGAGGACCAACTGGGGGTTTGGGCGAAGCTGAAGGAGTAGAATACGGCGGGTATATCGCTGTGTGGCTGTTAGTCTCGTGTTTGTGGCACGGTGGCGGCTGAATACAGAGACCCTGGTTGTGACCACCTGCATGTCTTCGGGGAGATCGCGGACTTACCAAGCGACACCGGGGTACCGATTGATCCACCAGGTTCCTCCAATGCCTGCTTGCCGATCGAATACGCGAAACTGATCAAATCCAAGTTGCTGCTTCAGCTGGCAGGCCATAGCAATGCCAGATGCGCCTGCACCGACGATGATGACGGGGTAATAGGTGTAGGCATCTTTCTCGTAACCGTTAACACGTCTTATCGATTCGGTGATCATCTTCGCAAGCAGTTGGGCTGCTGAGAGGCTGTATACGCAGACGTTCCAAGGTTCGCTTTGAGCTCCAACGCAGCGTACGAGGCGTGATTATGAATTTGACGATAGCTTCGTCGATATTAAACTTTAGCCGGGCGCCTTGTTCGATGATCTAGCTGTTGAAGACCTCGGAGAGTCAATCGCATGTGAAGATGAAGTTGACATGACAGCAGTCCCTTGATGGAGAATCATCTTGCCAATGGACGGGACGTTCGTCCTCCATAGTGCATCGCGTGGGGCGAAACTATCTCCTGAGCCTCGGTAGATTGGCGTAGACGCGTTAGCTTTGCGAGACGGCACGTCATGTAACGACGGACATATCGGCGACCTTGGTATTCCGCGATTCGTCCTGTCTCTGAAGGATTCACATGTTCATGACGATACCTCCGCACAAGCTGAAATTCAGTTCCGTCTCTTTCTGCAAGACTGCATAGCCGATAGGTCAGCGAATTGATACCTCTTGATCCTCTCGAGGTTGAGTAGCAGCGCTCTCGAATCATGGATGAGAGACGTTCGCTGTCAATCTTGTAATTTGGCAAATACAACACATCTATAGATTTCAGGCAAGGCGGGAAGTCACGTCGTTTATGTATGCAATGAGGCTGAACAATATATGGGTCTTGTAAGCCACAAGTCTATGGCTGCGCCGCTGACATGTAGCCAATAACAAGACCCATTCTACAGAACAAGCCCGATGATCGTTTTCTTGGACAGAAATCTCCACAGCCTGCATTCAAGTCATGTAGTGGTGCTCAATAGTTACCTAAACAAGTAGGAGGTCTTGCCTGCCCAGGTGTAACGCTCTCACGTGCTGACGCGGGTAGCGCACGGGCACATGATGTTAGGCGGTCGCGAACTTCCGAGTTGACCTCATCAACTGAATTCAGCAACGGCTAGACCCTCTACACCAACAAGTTGGACCTTTTGAGGAAGATTTGTTCGCCTTCCTGAACCATGTACCATCCTTGAATAGGAAGTTGTCAGCTCGAATCTGCGCAGAGAAGGACGTTCCAGTGCAATGAATACCATCGACGGTTCCGACCGTCACGTCAAGACAGACGAAGGCATGCTGCTGGAATACCTCAGCTAATACGGACATGACTAATACTTCCTAGCCCCGCCGCCGTCATTGCTTGCGATCGTGCTCGATACCAACCCGCATGCGTGGGCGCATCTATCCTCGACCCTCTCACTCTCGGCCGCCTTAGCCAACATCCTCGTCTTCATCAACGCGCACTTGGCCTCGGGAAACGCCAATGAAGTTGCCGTCATAGCTTCACATTCGCACAAGACGACATTTCTCTATCCGACTCCTGCAGAGCCGCAGCCTCAAGTACGGAGTGGGGAGACAAATGGGCATGCGCAAACGAATGGACATGGAAAGGACAAGGAAGGCCACATGGCAGAGAGTGCGAACAAGTACCGGCCGTTCGCAGTTGTAGAAAGTGCCATCCTACGCAACTTTGCCAAACTACTCAACGAGACGAAGGAGAGCCATCTGGAAGCAACACCAACCACGCTCATCGGCGGTGCCCTCTCAATGGCCCTTACCCACATCAATAAGCAGACGATCCTGCATGCTCCTACGGCCGCCTCCGCTGAGAGCACATCTCTCGCGGCACTCGCCGACTCGGAAAACACGCACGTCGACCGCGTGCCCCTCACATCTCGCATCCTCATCGTATCCGTATCCGGCGACCTTGCCAACCAGTACATACCCGTCATGAACTCCATCTTTGCCGCACAAAGAAAGCGAATACCTATAGATATCTTGAAATTGGCTGGCGACACTGTGCTACTGCAGCAAGCAAGCGATGCGACTGGAGGTGTATACATGAAGCCGGATCGCCCAGAGGGCCTGCTACAATATCTGATGATGGCATTCTTACCAGATGTAACAGCGCGGACAAGCCTCATAGTCCCTAGCGCCGGCGGTGTCGATTTCCGTGCGGCGTGTTTCTGCCATAGGAGGGTTGTTGACATCGGTTTTGTCTGCAGTGTGTGTTTAAGCAGTAAGCCAAATCGAACATGCCATCCCACTCAACACAGTGCTAACCTCCGTCAGTCTTCTGCAACCCGGATCTTCCTGATAACCTGTGCCTGACGTGCGGCTCCTATCTATCGCTGCGCAGTGCTGTCATGAACCCGCCGGCATTGATACCACGCAAAAAGAAAAAGAAGAAGAAGGCCGGGACGGATTCTGCAACACCAGGGGCAAACACTCCTGTAGGATCTGGTACTCCACTCCATGGTTGAGATACTGATCTCGGATCTGGAATCCATCCCACCAGATCCCATGATTACCGCGTTACACCTTTCTCGGACGTGTATGCATATCTGCTACACTCCCCGGCCCGTGGCGTAGGCTAGTTCCACCGAAAGACGCAAATTTGCCCACGTTTATGGGGAATGTGGAGACTTTGACGGTAGGCGTATTGAGCCACTAGGACGGCTGTACGACAGCCTTCCCCTTCGAATCGGAAACCGTGCCAGCATACTTTGTTCTCCGAAGCCTCGCCTACGCAAGTGGCTCTATGATACCACACGCGCTTGCAATTCTATGTGGGGAGATCTCTCAACGCAGTGTTCAGTTCACGGCGGCATGATCCTTTTGCCGTCGACACGGACGTTTCAACAGCCATGCGTGCGGTATTAGTTCTGCTGATTACTCACCTGCCAAAGCGTCGGCCGAGCCCGTAGCATTGGAGGATCATTTGGCATCCGAAAGACTCGGTGCAATTAGTTGGCAGCACAATCAAGCCCAAGAGACGGAAACATCTCCGTGATAATGCCTAGAGAAGTTCCTCAAATGAAAACTCAAGAACCTTCCAGACG